TCCTGTTAAAAACCTTCCCTGGGATGGATAGTAGTGTAATCCCTCTATAGTTAGAACAGGAGCTCAAGTTGCCTTTCTTTGGTATCTTAATGAGATGACCCTCTCTCCATTCTGTGGGTACTTGTTCTTCTTCCCAGATCTTCTTAAAAAGGGGATGGAGCATCTCTACTGTAGTCTCTGTGTCAGCCTTTAATGCCTCTGCTGGAATACTGTCGGGTCCTACTGCCTTACCGCTTTTCGATTTCTTAATGGCTTTACAGATTTCTTCCTTTGTTGGTGCACTACAGTCTATTGGCAAATCTCTATCTGCTGGTTGGATATCTGGTGGGTCCTGTGGGGCTGGCCTGTTAAACAGCTCCTCAAAGTGTTCAGCCCATCTTCTCTTCTGTCCTTCATCATCATTTATCTGTTTTCCTGGTCTTTCTGGTTTACAAAACGTTCTAGTGGTTGCATACAAGTTCAATTCAATTCAGTTCAAGTTTATTTGTATAGCGCTTTTCAAGATACAAATCGTTGCAAAGCAGCTTTACAGAAAATTAAGTTTCTACAATATATTTAGTAGAAGCTTGTCAGTGGTGACTGTGTCAAATTGATGTACATATGGCAGAAATGTACGGTAAAATTCAGTTAATGACGTAATAAAACAGACGATGAACACTATTAACGCCACTGATTATATGTTGCAATCAAAATTGTAGCAAAATTTGGTAGTTTATGTTGTTTCAGGGTTGGCATCATCTGAGGTCCTCTGAAGGGGTTTGCATCATCTCTTCTCAGGTGTTTGGTCATCTCAGGTCTTTGTAAGGGCTGGATCCAGATTGAAGCTTGTGTAATTAAATCCCTGATGTCAATCCCGTGGCAGAAACAAATAAACAAATAGAGACATAATTAGCATAGCTGCTGTTCCAACCAAGCAAAAATGATTTGTTCAACCCAAACTAAAGAATAATAATGTGCATTTGATCAGATATAACTGCAGTACAAGATTATGAGATGCATTATTTGAATGCTTATCTCTGTCTTATCCGAATTTAATAGGAGAAAATTATTGTTCATCCAATCATTTACATTTTTAATACACTCTGTTAGCTTAGATAATTTAGAAGTTTAAGCTGGTCTTGTTGAGATATATAGTTGAGTATCATCAGCATAACAATGGAAACTAATTCCGTATTTTTTAATAATATTACCAAGGGGTAACGTATATATTGAAAATAGCAGAGGACCTAGGACATATCCTTGTGGCACTCCATACTTTACTGGTGATAATTGAGATGACTCCCCGTTTAAATAAACAATGTGGAATTTATCGGACAGGTAGGATCTAAACCATCTTAAAGCCTGCCCTTGAATACCCATATAGTTCAATCAAGTCTTTCATGATTGTATTTCTGGCTGCTTCTTCTGCTTCTGCTACTTGGGTCTCTACATAGTTCTTTTTATCTGCTTTTATACTTTTCCTGACACTCTTGTTTGCTTGTGTATATTGTTCCTGTGCCTTGGCTTTCTCTGCACGTGTGCGGCTGTTGTTTATTTCTGCTTTCTTCTCTTTTCTATGTTCTATTTTTTTCATTGAGTCTTCTGAGATCCACTCATTGTGATTGTATTTTAGTGGGCCCAAGACTTCTTGGCAGGTTTTCTTCATTGCCTCATTCACCGTCTTCCATTTCTTGTCTACTGTTTCCTCTTCATCATCTTCTTCCATTTGTTCTCGCAGAACTTTAAATTTGTTGGCGAGTGTCATTTTAAACTCCTCCAGTTTGGTTGAATCCCTCAGAAGTGCTGTGTTGAATCTATATCTCAGATTTGATGCCCTTGTTCATATTTGTAATATGAATAAGATGCTGAAATTGTTATTTTAACAGTGATACTGTCATTCAGTGTGATGGATGACATTGTGTTGTAACAGAGAATTTCTATTACACTGAATGACAAAAGCATTACCCTAAATCCTGGATCCTGGACATTCTAACCGGAAGACCTCAGTCAGTCCGTGTTGGCCACAAAACCTCCAGCACTACCACACTGAGCACAGGTGCCCCACAAGGCTGTGTGCTCAGTCTGCTGCTCTTCACGCTGCTGACCCACGACTGCACTGCTAAGTGCTAAGTGCCAATCACAACTGTGGTAGGTCTCATCAGCAACAATGATGAAGCCTGTCTCTCAATGTGAGTAAGACAAAGGCGGTTGTGATGGACTTCAGGAGAAACTCTGTTGACCACCCCCCACTGACCATCGACAGCTCGACTGTGGAGAGAGTCAGCATCCACAACCCTAGCTCCTAGCAACCAGGATCCTCTCTCCCCCATCCCACCACACCACACCCCACCCCACACCACATGCACCACATGAAAACTGTTGAAAACCTCAAGAATAATGTGCAATTCTGAGTGTGCTATACACAGGTGAGCGGGCTGGACAAACCACATGTAGAAAAACACACTGTTTCCTCTCTATACGCACCAGATACTTTCTTATAAACACTCCACATTTCAAGGAAAACATTGTGCAACTCTAAGTGTGCTACACACAGGTGAGCGGGCTGGACAAACCACATGTAGAAAAACACACTCTTTTCTCTCTATATGCACAATCAAAAAAGTGCATGATAAATAAAGATATTGTCTCTCAAAAGAAAGAGTCGACTCAGAATCGCCTTAACGAGTCGTTATATTTTCGAATCTTTTGCCTGTTACCGAGCCATGTCACTGGGTAACACATTAGCATAATCCCCGCCTACCCACGAAATACGAACACTCTCTGTGTCAAGAAGATGCTGTGTTCCACGATACCACAGCAATACAATTCAAACCTTTTGTTGTGCTCTTCATTTTACCGAGGACTGCTTCTCTAATCTTGCCTTTTATATTCGTTGGCTTCTAATCTTCTTTATTTGGACCAACAAGCGTCTCCAAACCACAACCTGTAAGTACGATTGATACGTTGTGTACATTTTCAACTGAGTGCTCAAAATATATATATATTTTTTTTTTGTGCTAATATGTGATGTATACCTAGTGCAGCTTTAGGTTTCCAGGTAAAGCACAATATTACTGTTTTACTGAAATAGTTCTGATAATTAGCTTTTAATCCACTATTTCCTAAGGTACAGACATTTCGCTCAGAACTGAATCGAACAAACCGTTTCGAAATCATGGACAAATGACTCTATGTATAAATGTATATTCTGGGAAAATTACAGTGTTTTTTTTTACCTTAGATGCATTTAAACCTGTTGTAGGGGACTCCAACACAATATTAGGAGACTTTAAAAAAAACATATGACCTGCTCTTTAAATACCTCTTTTGCATAATATCATGTACAGTTATTATATAAAGTACTTGTATAGTCTATCTTAGGATATGTGTATGTATAGTCAACTATTTATAGTATATGTATAGTTAGATTACCGCTTCAGAAAGTTAGCTATGTAGGTCTAAAAATTGTTCTTACGTCTAGTGTTGTATATTTATATGTATGTTTATTTATGTAGCACCATGGTCCTGTGAGACACGACATTTTGTTCCACTGTATGTCCACACATGTAGCAGAATGACAATAAAGCTCGACTTGACTTGACTTAAATGATGAACCTTCTACTTCAGCTTATATTGCTGCCAATCAACTGGCCACCTATTTCAAAAACTGTTCTTAGCCAGTAAAATTAATCACAATTATTTACATCTACTTATTCTTCAAAAAAATCTAACAATAAAAGTGTTTTTTGGCATTTCACTGAATAATGTGTTTTTCTAACTTTGGACACCACACCATGAAAAGGTGGCATTATCAAATATTTAAGAGCAATAAATTCACTTTTCTGCAGCACCACACGGTCTTTCAGGAGCCATTTGATGATGTCACAGACTGCTGTATGACTATCAGATTGTATATGATTTCAGAATGGCTTCTTGTTCCTGTTACACCGAATGACCTCTGACAAACTGCATTTTGGGGACAAAAGTCCCCTGGTTATTTCATAACTTTAAAAAAACAATAAGACATAGTCCTTTAAACATAACAGAGCCAACACTTATTTGAAAATGCCAAGACAACCAATGTATTTTTAAGTTGGTATTCTATATGTTTATTTAAAGATGTAATGGTAAAATCAAAGTCCGGACCATTACACTGAATGACAATTATTCATTTTGGAAAATTATTTCCCCCATATTTTGACATTTTATTTTCACCAAAGTTATTTGAAATATGAAAGTAGACCCTTTACTTGCATTTAACATGTATTTTTATTTATATAAAATTACTTTTGTAAACTTAAAACGTATAATAAAATGTATATAAAAAATAAAAAAATAAATAACTATATACATCCAGGGAGAGAACATGTGTCCTAATTCAATTCCATCCAGAATAACCTCAAATGACCTTCATTATGTATATAGATATTAAACAGAGTACATGCATATTTGCAAACATGTACATGTACAAACACAAGCATATATTATATGTATCTATCTATATATTGATCATCTTTGTAAACTTAATTTTATGCGGACACCAAAATGGTGACATCTCGTCTTTGACCCAAAAATATTTTTAGTTCATTATGAAAGGGGCAAAAAAGATTAGCCATTACCGGGAAACACTGGATATAAGTAAAATTATTGACTAACAGAACCTGTGATGTCAGCTTGAAGACAAGCTTGAGCTTTTTCCATAATTATATTGTCTTCTTGTTTTGTTGTTGTTGTTTCAGCAGAGTGGATGGAGTCTCGCGCTCACAGTTTAGACCCTCGGCCTCTTGTCCGACCAGTAGCTTCACCCCCATTAGGGCGTCCCTGAATAGATGCACCCGATCAGTGAATGATGAACTACTGAGAGTCAAAGAGCAGCACAAAACCATCATGAGGAGCAAGTATGAGAGATTATTTGAGGGACTGAAACTCCAGGAGAATGAAAGCCTCCTGAACAGCATCTACACACAGCTCTACATCATAGAGGGAGAGAGAGAAGGAGTGAATGAAGAACCTGCTCACTGCTCAACAATCACCTACATGCTTCAGATGTCAGAGGAGCCGCTGGATGAGCTGGACCTCAAGAAATACAACACATCAGATGAGGGAAGAAGAAGACTGGTACCAGCCGTGATCAACTGCAGAAAAGCTCTGTGAGTGTTTAATTATTAGCAAATGAATAATCATGTTTAAAGAAGACCTATTATAAGCCACGTTGAGTATGTTTCAGAAATATTATGCTTATTCCTATAACCATGTTAGATCTTTGGTGGAAAACGTCTCAGTTTACGTATGTAACCATGGTTCCCTGAGAAGGGAACAAGACACTGCGTCCTCTAGGGGTCGCTATGGGGAATGCCTTCAGCGTGACCGGTGTCTGAAGCATACATCTAAAAACGACAATAACATTGGCCGGCGACAGCCTACGACGTCATTACCCTGCGCGATCACAGTATAAAAGGGATAACACGTCATTCGCTTCCTCATCTGAAGCTTGCGTCCGCAGGATGGCAAGGAAACTAGAGGATGCAACTTCGAACTGCGTCCTCTAGGGGTCGCTATGGGGAATGGTATATCCACGCCACCATGCTGAGGGGAGTGCATGCCAGAAAACCACGGCGAGCACTAAGTACCAACTCTACCATAGCCATGGGAGTTGCCCCAAAGGACGTCTTGACGGCTGTCAGTGACATTATCCCCTTCGGCCAAGGGCCGGAGCTGCATACCCTAAAAAAACTTACCTGTTAAGGGCTGGGCTAGGAAGCCCAAGCCTAGGGCAGAGCTCAAGGCTTGGAATCAGAAGAAAAATATAACTTTAAGGGGATACGGCCAGGTGTCTAAAAAACCACACCAGACCCTGGCCTGTCACCCAGGGGGGGCTACCACCGGATCTGAATAAACCTGCTCAAAGAACTGACTCGACAGATCTTTGGTAGCAACACCCTGCT